TTCCGATTTTTCCAGGAAACGCGGTTTTTGTTCACGCGTGTTTCGTTTTGTACTTTTCTCCCCCCCCCCCCCGGCCACCAGGTTAACCGCTCGCTCAAGAAGGCGAGAAAGGCCGACAAGAAGAAGGCGAGGAGAGAGATGAAGCGGGCGTCGCTGTCGCCGGGGAAGGGTGGGGAGGCCGTTGGGGGTGCGTACGACTTTTCGAGGGATTTTTATGCCAGCGGTGAGAAGGCTGCTGGAGAGGGCGCGGGGGAGCTTAGCGACGACGACGAGCTGTGATCGGTTTTGATAGGCTCTCTGTGTTTTGTTTTTTTTGTTCGAAAAGGGTTGATGGGTTGTGCGCAGCAGTCGCTCGTGCGCTGGGAGCTTGGTCCGGTGTTGGCTGACATGTTCGGTGAACGGAGATTGAGAACCTGTTCAATTACCGTTAGAGACCCAAACTGCACTTTTATGGCGTGTACTCGTAGAGTCGCACAAGTGGTCTGACAGCTCGATCTCGAGCCTGTCGAGAAAGAGAATGGCCTTAAAATTGTGCTACCGCGTGTGTAGACCAATCCTCTCGTGTTTGATCGATGTCGGTGCAGTGAAGAAAATTTAAAGGATGTTGTAGGGCGTCTCTTGCGCACGGTCGAGGTAGTGTAGTAATTCCGTGAGCACGGATAGCATCCCGCTCACAAGTCCAAGAGCATAAGCATCCACACTGAAACCGATGAAGGCGGTCGGAGGGTGCGTGTTGATTGTTAGCTGGGTGGCTGCAAGCACCCGTAGGGACTCCCTTGTTCAACCACAGGTCGGGGTAGTGCCCATGGAGGTGTCCATTTTTACAGCTCGTGTTGGTCGGTTGAATGAACTTGAACAGTCGACAGCTGTAGCGTTTCCGAACGGTTTGTGTCGTCGAACGCCGGGAAGGCGATAAACGCATACGGGTACGCGGTACGGTCACCAGCAGTACGCTCTCTCTCTCTCTATCTATCTATCTACTCTCTATCTCGCTTCCAGTGCGCTGTGTTCTGCATAGGATTATTAGCAGACGGGCCCTTTTCGCCATGGCCGCTGCCTTTCGTCTGAGGTGACGGTTTCGGAGAGAATTTGTGTTTGCTAATGCGCGTCTCCGAAGCAGGCCACGTTCCAACAGACTTGATCTCTGATACCGATATCACAGCAGAGAGCATTTACTTTCTTTTTGCCTTGCCAAAGTTGACATTTTCCTGAATAAATGCGCGGGTTGGAATTGACTTCCCGTAGACGGTGAGGTGGACACGGCACAAACGCAGATACAACTTCTAGAAAACTAATACAATGTACGACTGTACATAGTTCCAATCCGAACAGGATTGATTTCTACTGCTGAAAAAAAAATGACCGCGATTTCTCAACCGACCGCGGGTCGATTTCTCTCACAGGTAGCGAAAGCTACGAGCACGAAATCGCGGCGGTGCCTGCGCGCGACCTATGCCTCCAGGGCCGCCCAAGGAAATTCAATCGAAGCGATCACCGGCGCCAAACAAAAGCATTGTGTCTTGCTTCTGTCCACACCAGCATCATATTGACCCCTTTTAAGAGTCTCTGTGTTTCTCTCTTCCTATTATTGTACACGCGACGAGGAACACAGCATGTTCCCCCAAACGAAAAGGACGGAGTCGCTTTGACAACGGGTAAACTTAGTATCTAGATGTGTTTCATTGTTTGGAGAGGGTCCACGACGCGGGTCCACCGCCGGAGGAGGGGGAAAGGGGAGGATAAAAAGGGTGGTGTTCGATCGTTGAAAGGTGGAAAAAAAGAAAGGGCCCAGGATCTACAGCAGTATCGATCCATCGATCATCGATCCATCCCCGATCCCCAAGACCCAAGGCAGAAGAGAGGAGGAGAGGGGCCGAACCGGCACAAGTTGGGCCGCACAGCACCTTGGGACTTGGGACTTGGGACGCGAGAGACTATTATAGCGACAAGAGACAAGGTGTTCTGTTGTAATGCAAGGGCGCGGCCTCTAAGTGTGGGACCATGAAGCTAGCGCTGGAACTTGTAAACCGACCACCCCTTGACATGTATCAGGTCACGCCACCGAAAACAACAACAGAGTAGTTCGACGTTGCGGAGTGTGTGCCAGACGCTGCCACAAATAGGGCGACGTGCACGCCGTACCACTGTCCTCTAAAACCACCAATCGAAGGCTAGGTCTTCTAGAGGAGGATGGGTTCCGCGGCGGGCAAGCTTTTCCGGGGGGGTGGCACCAAGATTGAGTTTATGGAGAGCACGAAGATGCCCACCGCCAAAGATATGGATATGAGACGCCGCAACTCTCTCATGTTCTTCATGAGGGATTGGCAGGAATCATCAACGTTTGAGGAGCAGGAGGCTTCCATGCTACAGGTACGAAGCCGCGATAAAAGTGTTATATGCATATGTAGACATATGTCGTGTCTCCATTGTTCGTTGCATAAAAGAGGAACAAGACAGCTTTGGCTGTCCCATCGCGGGGCGCATCCGACTCCTACATGTATTACAGTATTGTAGACATAAAACAAACGTGGTACGCAGCTGACACAGCCAGTTGAACGTTCAAATACATTTAATTTGTAGCCAGGTGGTTGTATTGGCTGCAAGAAGAGGGCTGTTGAGGCCCTACAGCGCGGTTTCGTACCAGGTTGAACTGCAGCGCCAAATGGATAGTCCGGATGCTCTTGCTTTCGACACACACATACATCGCTGGCTTGACATCATCGAATCCGATAGTACAGTTTGCGCCCGCGATTAAGAAACAAAACTATAAGAAAAAAAGGCTCATACTTTGGCGATAAATATGAAAAATCGACTAAGAAACACACTTCAGCCGTGGATCCTGCACTAAAGTATATATCATGACCTATGCTCGACGGTGGTGACGAAATAAGAAATTGAGCCTCGAGCCCTAATTAATTGACGTTTCTTAAACGCGGGCGCTATCTATTTAACTGTAGTGTGAAACATTGATAGCACAGTAGCACAGCGTGCAGGAGGAGGTTCTCTCAGTGGTATTATCAATATAACGGTCCAGCAATAAGGGACTCGAGATGCTTAGTATGTTCGCAAACCGTTCTTCCTCTGGCTCGAGAGTTTGGCCTCGCGTGTGGCAATGGATGACCATCGGCGGAGGGAGATACTTACTTGTAGCTCGTGTGTGTGCGGTTCACTGTTCAACTTCTTGTAGAGTCTACATGTCTAGTGATCGAAGCAGGACCTGCGATGAGGTTTTGTGTGTAAACGCTGCGCGGGAAAACGCTGGCAGTGACGTACTGAAGAAATTTGCTCGGTTTGACACTTCCAAAAATATACATGTATGCAGATCAAGAAGTACCATCAGATGGAAGCCAAAGTTAGTCAGGACGATCCGATTTTGGCGAAGATGAACAAGATCCCTCTGCAGATCTCCCTTGGAGACATGCGACTACTGAGGGAGACCGTCATCATGAAGTGGAAGGATATTAACCGAAGCTACCAAGGCCCCCTACTAGGCGAGACCGTGCTTCATCGTGTGTGTCGTGAAGGGTGAGATGACAGCAAGATACCTAGTGACTCATGTTGGCGGTGAAAGGGTAACGATGTTGTTCAGCACCAAGTACATACGCAGCGTGGATTAGATTACCCGCGTGTGTGTGTTGCCTGTCAAACGATTTTTGTTGAGAGTTCAGCATTGGCAAACTAACGCCTTTCTCGCAGGTACTTGGGAGCTCTGAAATTCATGCTGGATCCTAACAGCAAGTCAATTTTCGAGACGGAAACGGTCGATCCGAACATCCTGAACAAGCGGAAGAGGACGGCGTTGATGCTTTGCTTCACGAGCCCACACTTCACGGAAATTACCAAGAATTTCGGTCTCGAACAGGACACTGAGACGGGGCTTGGGGTACCTCGCCCAAGGCGGCCGGACACGGCCCAGGTAAGCATCATCGCGAAGAAATATAGGCGAGACCACATACCGTAGGCAGGTCGGCGGTCGGTTTCAAGAATCCATCTAGTCTTGGCCCACTACAGCGAGCTTGTGAGCGCTTATCAGCGGTGCCGCAGTTGCTGAACACACTTCGTATGTCCGCGTGTCTTGGAACGGCCCATGTTATCGGGGCTTTGGCAAAGAGGAGGTTAACGGACTATCTTCGCTGTATCCGTTTTGTTGGATAAAAATTGGGGAAGTCCAACTCACGTTTAAGAGTCGCAAGATCCTCATATGTGGAATGTTCTCTACTGTTTGCGACGGCATGAGGAGCAGCGCTCGGACAGACACATACACACATGTCGTGTGTCGTCGTAACTCAAGTATTGATTATTGCTCCATCGATCATCCACCAGACAAATCAGGACTGGATGAAGCCAGGGACCCGAGCCGATCGTGAAGAGATGGTGCGCATTCTGGTGGAAGATTTGAAAGCCGATGTGAATGTGCTGGATATGCACGACTACAGGTACAGTAGTTCCTGACAGCGCACTACCGCGAGAACTCACGCGATATCGCGAGCACAAACGTTTTCTGCGTAACAAACACAAGTAAGTAACGATCGGTCAAAGTCACGCAAAATTGTTCTGAGATTCAACGAACAACAAGTATTTTCTCATAGCGCAGGCCGATTGCCTCGGTGCCTGTTTTTGTTGCAAAGTCGTCTCAACGTTCTGACACCTAGTAGGTCGCGAGTCCGAGAGTCTCCGCTTAGCGTGAGAGACAATATTTTTGTCCCCACGTCTTGTGGCCCGGTGCTTTACTCGTCAATATGCGCTCAATAACGGAAGCACCTGGTGAACCCTCCCCAAAATTTAAAAAAAAACGTGGACGCAAGAAATTCATCTGGGTGACCCCGCATCCAAGCTCTTCAGTTGAAGAGGCAAGACCGTAGGGTATAATACTAGAAACGCGAGCGAATGTGGTGAATAGGATGGACCCACACATCAAATCAATACAAGTATCGAACTGAACGACGCCGTCGAATGAATGGTCAAACCCATCTATCTCTGTCGCGCATGCGGTACAAGCTTAAGCTTCGCTCCACGCCCTGTAACCTATCCTGCCAGTTTGCTGCACTACGCCTCTATCAGTGGGTGGGAGGGAACTATCGACTTGCTATTGGAACACGGCATAGACCCACGGCAGACGTGCATGACGGGAGAGACGGCGTTGCACTTTGCCGTGTCGCTCAGGCATGGCGAAGCTGCGGAAATACTCTTGAAACGCTCCCAAGACCTTGTCAACGAAGCTGACAAGGTAAGCACCGGTTGAAGAAAGGCCAAGTCTCGCACATCAGTATCGTTCACCAAGATTAACTCACTGTGCAAGCGTGCATGTAAAACCAATTTTTCTTACCGCCGACAAACTAAACATTGTCAACCTCCCTCGAGAGATTTGTAGTTGTTTCTTCAATGATGGTGCGACGGCGAAAAACAAGATCGTGACGATATGAGATCGACGGACGTTGGTTTAAACACTCCAACCCTGCCCTCCCGCGCGTGCCCCTGTTTGCTGGACGATATCACCTCAGGACGGGGATCGAGCCATCCACTTAGCTGTTCAGAACGGTGACCACGAAATTGTGAATCTCCTAGTAGACTACCAGGCGGACATCAACTCACCCAACTACAGGAGAGTCACACCTCTCGCGGTGGCCTGCAAGCGCCAGGACTGGCAAATGGTCAACCATCTCTTGGATAAGAAGGTTGGAAATGAGCAAGAGAGAGAGGGGGGGGGGGGGGGGGGGATG